TTCTTTTTTCATATAGGCGGTTATTATGTATTTCAGAAACAAGTGGTTATCATGTTCTTACAGACAGGCAGTTTATCATGTATTTCAGAAACAAGCAGTTATTCTGTTGCTAAGCCCTATTGCATTGCTTCCTTCCCCTCCCTCCTCTGGTCAAAGCCCCTGAGCGTATTTGGCAGGGGATTGCACAGCTTAGCTTTGTTCAGGCCCTGGCCTGTACTGTACTATGTAAAGGCCCTCGATATACTCAGCTTCTGTCAGAGGGTCTGAATTTGGGCCTTCGGTGTTACTTTGGCTGTCATAAAGAAGGCCACCTAGTTCTTTTTCCCCACAGTATGAAGGACAAAACTTAACTGGTATGTAAAAATACTTGAGAAAAAAGGTTCTATTTTTAGACATGAGTATGGGTCAAATCATAGAAGATCAGGGTTGGAAGGGACCTCAGGAGGTCATCTAGTCCAACCCCCTGCTCAAAGCAGGATCAATCCCCAGATTTTTGCCCTAGATGGCCCCCCTCAAGGATTGAACTCACAACTCTGGGTTTAGCTAATGCTCAAACCACTGAGCTATCCCTCCCGACCCAAAGAAGTAACACAGGATTACCACCGTCTCTGGGTGGTCTTGACCCACCATCCTTTCAGTTACCAGCCAAAGCAGTTGGGAACCTGCACCCCTGGTTTTTATCCTGGCTCTGAGAGGCGAGTGGGGGTAGTGACTGTGACGAACTGGGACTGTTCTCACTGTGGTCTGTGAATGCTGACAGGGGAGTGTGACTAGGATGGTCTGCATCGGGGGATGGGAGCCGGCCCAAGGGAACATACCTGAGCTTGTAACATGAGAACCCAGGAGGGGGTTGGAGGTCAGATGACTCCGGGGCCCGGGAAACTGAACAAAGGCTGTGGGAGGGGTCGCTGAGGGAGAGTGGGGGAAGCAGGCTGGAAGGAGGGTGGAGAGATGGCTGGGAGGCAGAGATGGCTCTGACCCCCCAAAGGGGGGGGGGGGCTGGGATGCCCTGGGACCCCAAG